TCCTGGATAAAGTGTGCTGTACGGGAAGAGTTGTTTTGCTTTTCAATCGATCGTCCCCGAAGAGCCAATTTCGCAGCCACTGAAACGATTAGCCTCGCCGTTTTCTAACTAATCAACATATATTATATCCTGACTACATGCGCGTATGTATAACGTGACATTAACTTCTGTTCTTTTGAGCGACATGCCCGCAATTCATAAATTTTATACATTATTGCTTTTCCACGTCACGCACGCACAATCCGCCTCGCGCTTTTTCTCATTTCTCTGATTATTCAACAATTTTAATTTAATTAAATTGCTACTATTTAATAGGATCCTCTTTCTAGTTTATTAAATGATACTTACTAATTAAAATTAACCAACGTGTCGAGAAGGGATATGTTAGTGTTGCATTAAACCACAATAAATCTGATTCCATTCTCATTTTTTCTTGTACCATATTTCCGTTGTATGTATATTGGATATCAGTTTTTATCTGTCCTATGCATTTTAAGCAGAAAATAAAATTTATGATTAGCATAAAGGTATATGATTATTAAAAGATTGATATATAATTTTTTAGATAAAAGTTCAAGATACTATTGTTGCAAAGATAAATATAGATTAGGCACAGTTTGGTTAACACACAATTAAGTAAAATTATTTAAAAGAGTACTTGATTATAATATTTTTTTATGCAATAAGATCGGAAATAATGAAATTACGATGCATATAATAGCGTGAATTAAATTATAACGCAAAATAATCACTGCTAAAGAGGAATACGAAAGAACGAAATGGTATTCACACCGGCATTTGCGCGTTTATAATCGCTTTACAATCTGCAGTAATAGTACAATTTATATTATTATTTAATGTAATATAATTCAGGGAAGAGCGCGGGGAACGATTGGCACGCACAAACGCACTCTCGTATTTTGCATCCAGGATTCACACACACACACAAGGCGATAGTTACACTCGCGCTTAGATCGACGAATGTCACCTAATTGAATTACCGTATTACAACTTGTCGTCTAATTCGCACTTGTCCATGTACAAACAATATGCAGCCAGAACGCACTGGCTGTCTGCATTTATCTTGCATTACTTATATTTATATATATATATATATATGTATATGCTTACATAACGTATATTTTATAGAGTATATCGTATGCATAGAAGGGCTCTATTTATTTGCCGTATTGTTCCTGCCGCTACATTATCTAGCAAGTTTTCATTAGTTAACTCCGACGGCTCCCGGATTCGCCTGAAGCTATAGTGCAATTATAATCCTCAAGATTCCGTCCAACGGATTTCTCGTCACTTTATTCGGCTAACAAGAATTAAAAGGATAAGAAAAGTTTTTGTAGTGATATCGTTATTTTTACGTTTTAATGATTGTTTGCCTACCTATTTTTCAGGGATTAGTATTCCCGTTTAAATCGATCGTTATTTTATAAATTATTTTTGATAAATGGAGATAAACAGGCAATTAATAGATAAATTATAAAGGAATTAAAGTAATAAAAGGTTATAAATATTATGAGTACAATTTAAAAAAAAAAATTTAAAATTTAATTAATAATATGTACTTTTATTCTTTTGTCCTATTTTTATTTTTAAATAAGTTGAACGTTTCATATAAATAAAGAATAAATTATAAAGTTTTCACGGAAATGTGTGATTAATGTAAGACTTAAATTACAAGCTATATATACGCATATGAAGAAATGTACCTGGGCTGATATTGCATTGAAAAGTAATTAAGATGGAAAGAGTCAAATTACGATTGACATTTTTGCATCAAATTTTGTATTCAGCTATTCTACATTTGCCATCTATGATAATTAAATTTCAATGCATTCGGAATTTGATTAAATAAAATGTAATTAAACGCTTCCGTTCGAAACAAATTACTGACGGAGCATTATCGAGATTCGATGCTGACAAAATAAGATTGTCTTTGATCCTTGAAACACTAAACTCATCATCTTTAAAAGAGATGGGTGTAGTAGCGACGAGTCTGTCGGAGCGAAAGATAATTATAGGAATCCCGAGGGTTATTAATCGCCGGTATCGAGATTATGATCGAGCCAGCGGGAGGACTTCTCCGGCTGCTGAATAATTCCAGCTCGTGAATTTCTGAATAATTTGTAAATGTCAAGCGCTCGGTCGCCGTTTACAAGTTTTCCGCTTCGTATCCCCCTCTCGTCGTCCGGGCTGACAAATCGACCGTTTATACAGGGTGCCTCCCACAGTCACGAACTATTGACATTGCGCGCCATAATTACGGAGACGCGATGCGAGGTGCCGCGCCGTTTCGCATTGATATGCGCCGCCCTTATCGGCGCCATCGGCTAATAAAATAATCGATGACACAAATGTATAAAAGAAACGATCGAAGAGAGCAAAAGTACACTTACATTGTGAGCAATTAATGTCTAACGAGAAGACATATTGCTTCTTTTTTTTTTTGTAAATATAAATTAAAAAAAGTTATCTCGTGTCTCTCTATATTTGGTTAATGATATACTTCCTCTGCATAATGAGTTGAAAGTTCGATTGTCGGATTTGTATTGGCATCTCTAAATCTATATGTGTGATATTAAGGCGATATTATCTAGCAAGTTCTGAGGCCATCTTCCTATTTAGCAAAAATTTGATTGGACGTCTTGCCTCTTTAGGACTTAGATTTTCTAAGGCACCCCGTACACTTCTAAGATAATTAGATATTTACAACTTGAATTGTATGGAATTTGAAAATGAGAAAAATGACGTAGAGAAAGAGAAAAGAATTCGTGGACCATTTGTCGAGATCGACTCGGGATACTTCGTATACATCGGTGCGACTTGAAACTTGAAAACGAGCGGACCACGATCGACTGTTTCGCTCGACCGCATTTCCAGGCTACCTCTATTATACACCGTTTCTTCTGTTTACATCACTATCAACAATCTACATTTATCTATACACTCGAGTCTCTCGCGACACATCGTATAGACGCATGTGCTTCAAGGTTTAGATTTCAACTTTAACAAACACCTAATGGTCCAGTATGGGAGGAAGTTTGCGTTGCTTGGCCATTAATTATACAGTAGATTAGTGCTTAGCCATTTATACAGACTGCCTCTCGCGTTACGGTCAATTTATTATACACGTGCCATACTCTCGTCCCGAACGATCGCAAATCGCGCCCACCGCATTCTGCCCTTCTATCACGATCTGTTATGATCGATTCTATGGTTTTATTTCAATTTTACGGAATGCCTCTTGAGGCCAACTTCGAAAAGGTGCGGTTTTTATATAATGTCTTTATTTTTATTTTTCTTTAATTAATTTACTAATATTGCCGCTCTGTCGCATCAAAAGCGCGAATTAATTCGAATTATTAATTTGTTTTCCATCTGGACTAACATTGTAATATAATATTAACGATAATATATATATAATTGTGAGAAGAATTTCAACGTTTAAAAATAAAACACTTCGAGTGTATATACATATGTAATAATTTTATTCAACAATTTGCAACAAAATGTTTTTATCTATTCACTGATTTTGCGTTAATCTTCCGCTTTTTTAGGGAATGATTATAATTTTGTCTGTCAATCAAGATTGGGCATTGAAAATTTTTGTATATATATATATAATATATATATATACATTATATATAGAACATATATATAATTTTTATATATATATATATATTATTTAATCTCATTATAGAACACAAAAATCTCGATTACTCCTTTTTGTAACATTTCTCAGTTTTTATATGTCATAAATATTATTCTCCATCAATCACTCGCCCGTAAATCATCATGTGATCAAACATCATCAATACCGCGTACGATTATTAATGATTAACTCGCAATGCAAGCAGCTCGCGTCCAAGTGACGTCGGTTGCATATCGATCGCGCAATAGTCTCATTGCAAAACACTTTTGACGGCGGAATTATCATGAAAAATGAAAACACAATTGGCCGATGATTTCTACTTGATTTCGCGCATTTGACAAATGTATTCCGTGTCAATCTCGTTTCCAAAACTCATCAAACCCGACCTCAAAGCGGCGTCGATCGTCCAGAGCATCATCGATCATCTATCACTAATCCTTCGAGTATCGCGTAGCGCAATAGCACTATTTTGTAAATGTTATTACAATATTATTATAATATAACGCAGTATCTTCATACTTGTCGCGCTTGTATACATTAGCACCTACAGTAAATGCTTTCAAACTGTTGAACATGCAATAAATATTTTGTGTACAAAATGTAAATTTGCTATTTTCTCCAATATGTGTGCGTGTGTTTGGAAAATAAAATCTGGATAATCTCGAAATAAGCAGTTTTAATAGAGTTTAAACACGTGTTACAATTTTCATTGATGTCACTTTTATTGCTATAAAAAGTAAATGATGAAATAAAAAATTAAAACAAAAACATACATTATATATATATATATATATGTATATATAAAATACATATTAACGTGCAAAAATAAGAGCACACTTTCCTTTGTTTAGAATCTTGTCTGAAAAGAAAAATAATTTTGTTTTTTATACAGTATTAATTTAATATCAGCTATGGTAATCATTGCATGTTCCAAGACTCGGAATTATACGATAGTCGAAGAATTAATTAGAATAAAGTTCGAGGACGCCCTGTCGAGATGCAATATGTAACAAAAATATCATTAAATATCAATATATATTTAATAATATCTTCAATGACGCGGTGAGCGATCCGCGATCGGCGGGAATGTGTAGGGATCGCTGTGCGGATCCGCCGATCGATCCCTGCGATCTGTCGATCCGCACGGCGATCGAGGGGTAGGCGGCAATTTCTTCCCTTCGTGGATCTGCGCCCTTCAAGGCCACGAGTTCTCTTTCATCAGGGTGGAACCGCCTATTGTCGGAACCGCCGCTACCACGTGAACGCGACATGTGACGATCCTCCGCAAGGAGGATACTCGGTACAGATTCTTAGTGATATCTTGATGTCCCTGTCACGAATCAAAGAGGCACGTCGACCCGAAGAGGCTAATTGCAAACAGAACAACAAGGAGCACCGACGACGACCTGGAGTTCGTCGCTTCGTTACTGTATGGCATCTTCACCTCAACCTCGGCCATCTTGAAGATCGAGAGTAGTGGATGCGTGCGTACTTCATGATGCTTATTGTTGATCTTGTCGCTGAGATCTTGCATCATCGACGCGCACTCCTCCTGCAAATTGAGCATGTTGATTAGCGCGTTCAAATTTAGTTTAATTCACACATACATAGAGATCAAATTTTTGCATAAAAGCAACTTTTTTATTTCAACGTGAACTTAATATAATTAAATAATAAATGTATGATAAGAAAAATCATTCTCGCTTTCTGATTTTTTAATATTTCAATGTCACATTGAGTTGATTTGTGTTCAAATTTACAAATGTACTGTTTCGACTTTTTAGTAAACGAATGGTCGATAGTCAAACGAGCAAAGTTTAAAATTATTAACAAGGTAGTTTTTATTTATATATAAAAATACAAAACGAATAATTGCAAATAAATAATAATCACAAGATATGTCCATCCAATCTTTTGCGGTTCAACAAATAAAAAGTTAAAATTAAAAAATGTTCTATTTCTTCCTATATTTAAACGCTGAAGATAGCTCAAAGCTGAGTAAAAACATTTGCCTTTCACAGTATTAATTTGTTCCAATGAATTTTAATTAAATGTTTAATTTGGAATAATTTGTGCATTGCGTTTCGAATTTTACCTACCCTATTATTTTGGATTATTATTAAAAAGATTCTTTTTGTGACAACTATTTCGGCTTTTCTATATATATTATCGACTTAACATATTTTTGCTTGAGAACAAAGAATTTATTATTTAAAATTTGAAAAATTGATTCAGCTTTATTTCTTAATACAATGCGATTTGCAAAAATGCGTTCGTTGATACTTTTATATATTTTTGTATTTTCTAATTTTTGATATGTGTTCAGCTTCAAATATGGTTCCTTAGATGACTTTTTATTATTTTATTACATAACAATTGTTATCGTAATAATGATAACAATTATTTTAATTTAATTATAATATCTTAATATCTTTTCAATGTTTTAACTTTTTATTTGTTTAAGTTAAGAATATTATTCATTTGTATGCAATTGTTTTAAATTTGTTTATATTATAAACCATACTATTGTTAAGCATTTTAAACTTTCATTTGGCCATTGATCTTACATTTTATTTTTTATTTTACATAATGAATTTTGTATCCTTTTAATATTTGTAAGTTTTTAATTATTATTATTAATTCTTTTTATATCATTTTAGTTTAAAAGCGATATTTAACAGAAAAAATTATGTACCTATTATTAAGCTGAAGAAGGAATTACAAGTAAAAATTATCGTTTCCAATAACCTTGTTTATGATCAACTAAATATTAGTATACTTATATACACTAATTTATTACAAACATTGTGGAAAAAATGAATTGATTAGAAGTTGTGAAATTTTCATTTAAGAAATGCATTTACTTTAATCGAAGAATTCTTGAGGTACAATAGATCTAGATCGTTTATAACGATCAGAATAAATTCTTCTTCAAAGTATAATCTTCACGAAAGCACGCGCATTTTTCGTTTTACTATCAATAGTTGTCCTACCAGAATTCAAGTTTTCTCTCGAATACGACTTAACGACGTCGAATGTAACCCCTCTTCCTTTATCGTGTACCTCTTTCCAGACAGAATCCAGCATCGATTTCCATTTTCAATCCTCTCCCGCTACCCATCCGCTACGCGCAGCCCTTGTTCCTCGTCCCCAAAATTACCCTCGGCTCGTTGAATCTTTAATTTCCGGCGTAGAAGTCCGCGAAGCTGGAAGCGATTTTTGGTGATATCTTTCTGGTGCGCCACGTGGCCCGACCAGATTTCTCAACGCCGGCGTTTCATTCGCTCGTTTCGTGCCGAGCGAGGTTTTCAATGAGATTAAATTCCGCGTAGAAGCTGGAATCTTGCGCGAATAACTTTGCTGTGACGAGTCGGTGTAGCTTCCAGCGTGGAATGAAACTTTCGACGAGTTCGACCATGATATCTTTGGTGCTTGGAAAAACGACGCGAGTCGTCTAATTTGAGATATGTCTTCGATGCATCAAAAGTTTACATCGTGAAATTAAGTATACTATGCTTCGCAATCATAATATAATCTATACTTCTGTGGGTAATTTTGTGACGTAAATAGGTATTATAAAATTTTTGCTTTTTTTTTATGAAGAATTCTGCTTAGGTTTTTTTATTTAATTGCATCCCATATTGATACGCATTAAATAATAAATTTGTTTTTCTGAGATTATTGCTTCCATTTTGTCAAGATATGTATAATATTTAACGTAATACTTGATATACAAAGGTAATGAAGATATCTAACCGCGAAACAACGTTGTAGTATATCTGCGTATTCAATAATTAACTCGCCACGTGTGAGAAACTCGGGTTTACAATTAGCACCAGCCAATACGTAAAATGAATTATCGTACTGGGCTTTTGTCAGGCCATGCTTGGATCATTACTGCTTCGCGCAGTTTCATTTAATTAGCCTAAAAACCCGGCTAGGCACATCTGGCGTGTTTCGCCTCTTCTTTTATTTATGGGTTCCGTCCCTTTTACTGTCAAGTAGAATTATTTAATTTAAATATCTAAAATAGCAGATGTATCACACAGAATTAAAAAAAGAATTAAATAAATTTGTATATAACTCGGATTTCAAAAATCGCATCAGCAGCTTTTATATAAATTTGACTATTTTCTGCAGATCTCGAGCTGTCCGTCATATTAAATATCATAATTTAAAATAAATAAGACAAGAAGAAATTCATGTTATATAAATGAAAAAATGTATATTTTTCTCAAATAAAATGAGTACACTTTGAAGTAAGTAATATTTAGTTTTAGGATTTTTAGTTTTAGATTTTTCAGTCCTAAATCGACAAATTTATTGTTTAAAAGTTTGATTGTGTGTATAATTCGTGCTTTAAATAAAGTAGCTAAGTATGTGAAAGTTGCCAGTTACTTAATATATTTTTTGCTATTATCATTATAATTTTATTACATGGAGAAGTCGACGAGGCTTTTAATTGCCATATGTGTTTCCATGTACTAGATTTCCAGATAATCCGACTTTGAATAGAAATGTGCGGCGTGACTTTTTTTTCCATTGGGATTATCCGACAGATTCGCAACAGTATTGTGTGCTGCGGATATATGTAACTTCTACTTTTTTACTCCACGGATTGTGCTGCTTATCTCCCGTCGTGCTTCAACATCAGCCGACACGCGTTTAATTTTTCCCCGGATAATATTTTATTTAATCCGGCTTCGCTGTGAAATAATACATGTATGGTAAATGGTCTTCTGCGAGAATCTCGTTTGTTTTTGCAGTAAAACATCAGTTCCACCCACAGTAGAACCGTCAAATAATTCAACAAAAGGCTTTAATAAAGTTAAGTTAGACCAAACTGCTTTCAGCGTCATCACAAAATTTAAATTGAATAATTTCACAGACTTCATCTATTTCGAATTATTCTTGATTAAGTCAATTATTAAAAAAATTTAACAAAGTACAATACATTTATGTGTACATTAAAAATGTATTAAATTTTAATAAATATTTGTTTAAATAGCCCTAATTAAATATTCACACTTACGGTAAATAAATATTTATTTTAATAAAAAAAATGGTGCTTGAAATTAATAGTTCTTGTGTGTATCAAATAAATATTTATATTTAGGAAATATTTACATTTGGTAAATATTGAATTAAACTACCTATTCTAATAATTTTATTAAAATTTAGTACACATGTTTTTTCAGTATAATAATAATAATTATTATATTCTGATGCTCTTTCTATGCATTAAATTATGACATACACATTTAGGCGCGCTTAAAATCTAATAAAATCTGTTAAATCTATCTATTAAATATACAGAATAATTATATATACAATCGTATCTTACGTATTCCAATCACGTTTTTAATCATACTGCCTAATAATCCTCGACTATTTAATTCTTCTTGCAATTGTTAGTTATTGCTAATTAATTTTTTTCAAAGGAGTATTTTCAATATAATAATTGTATTGCCCTACTAAAATAATTAATGGCGATCGAAGCAATCAAATCAATTGCGAATTGCCCCGATTTCGTGCCGAACATAACATTCTGCTGTTTACGTCGGTTGTTTAACGTTATGCTTTAATTAATATCGTGCCGTGCCACATGACGAAACTCACTGGCAGCTCGATGGTTGTTCTAATTTACGCTCTCTTGTATTATGCGGTACGTGCCTCTTCTACCATATTAATTCAGGGTTAGAAGTACATCCGTGTTACATTGCGTTTCGCCAAAATAATTTCGCTTTACAGGTAGATACGTGCTAATACAATTATTTGGAAATTGGCAAATGCATAAGTAGATATATACAAGGAAAGCTAATAAATTATTTGCATAAACATCTAATGATAGAAAGGCTACAATGAATAATGTTGAGCTTATTCACAAAGGCGTAGTGTAAGCGATCCTAAGTAGTTTAGGAATGAAAATTGTTAAGACGACGCTTAACAGTCGTAAGTGGAAGTAATTTTCAGTAAATACGTAGCTATTAAAACTATCTTGTTTAATAATTTGCGTATAATATCGAGAACCGATATTAAAGGAGATAGAATTAGTCAATGTAAAATGAGTCTTAGAATAAATTCCAATAAAAATGTGTGTAAATTACTGGTGGTGGATCATATTTTTTTTAACTTGGAAGTTAACTGATTTTTATCTCTAGTATATATTAACAACATATCGTATATTACTGATTGTTTTCCGGTTTATTAGTATTTGAAAACATTATAGACATGGATCACAATGTTTTGAAGAAAGTAAAAACTAAACAAATATTAAATAATATAAAATAACGGAATAAATACGTTAAAAATTAAGCTTATTATGACAGAATTACTAAAAAAAATTCAGACTTTATAATTAATAAAACATTTTTTATTGCGAGTTTTTGATAGAATTTTATGTTTAAAAATTTGTAAAAAATAGTTATTAAAAAGAAAAGAAAATTATGTGAAATAATATCCCTAAGAAACAATATGTCATTGTATACATTTTTTCGCCGCTGGGGTATAAATACCTCAGATGACTGTTTCCGAGTTAACAAGAAACTGTAT